ACGCTCGACTAGTATTCGAATGTTCACAGTGAAAACTCGACAAGCATTCGAGTGTTCACGGTGAACGCTCGACTAGCATTCGAGTGTTCACGGTGAACGCTCGACTAGCATTCGAGTGTTCACTGTGAACGCTCGACAAGCATTCGAGTGTTCACGGTGAACGCTCGACTAGCATTCGAGTGTTCACAGTGAACGCTCGACTAGCATTCGAATGTTCACCGAGAAAACTCGACTAGCATTCGAGTGGTCACGGTGAACGCTCGACTAGCATTCGAATGTTCACAGTGAAAACTCGACTAGCATTCGAGTGTTCATGGTGACCGCTCGACTAGTATTCGAATGTTCACAGTGAAACTCGTTTAGCATTTGAGTGTTCACAGTGAACGCTCGATTAGCATTCGAATGTTCACAGTGAAAACTCGACTAGCATTCGAGTGTTCACAGTGAACGCTCGACTAGCATTCGAATGTTCACAGTGAAAACTGAAAACTCGACTAGCATTCGAGTGTTCGCATTGAACGCTCGACTAGCAATCGAACGTTCACAGTGAAAACTCGACTAGCATTCGAGTGTTCACAGTGAATGCTCGACTAGCATTCGAATGTTCACAGTGAATACTCGACTAGCATTCGAGTGTTCACAGTGAACGCTCGACTAGCATTCGAATGTTCACAGTGAAAACTTGACTAGCATTCGAGTGTTCACAGTGAACGCTCGACTAGCATTCGAATGTTCACAGTGAAAACTTGACTAGCATTCGAGTGTTCACAGTGAACGCTCGACTAGCATTCGAGTGTTCACAGTGAACGCTCGACTAGCATTCGAATGTTCACAGTGAAAACTCGACTAGCATTCGAATGTTCACAGTGAAAACTCGACTAGCATTCGAGTGTTCACAGTGAACGCTCGACTAGCATTCGAATGTTCACAGTGAAAACTCGACTCGCAGTGAAGTCGGTGAACACAAGGACTAGCATAAAACTCGACTAGCATAAAAGTTTGAAACATCAAATTTCATCGAATAGAACAACTTTGGTAGCTTTATTTCTCAGAAATACAAAACAACGATCATAATCCGGTGGTAGGCCAAAAAATCTATGTATCAGTTTATTGGCACATCGTTAACTGAAAGAACCGTGACAATCTGTTCAAATTGAAACTTGTTTCTTTGGGAAATAGAAAACTGAAAATTTAAGACGCCAACAAAAAAAAATTTATATCACTTAAATTGTGGTCAGTCCTATCCCAACGTGTAATGGCTTGAACGAGCACTTGGATCAAGCAAACAATCTCCCTCGAAATCAAATTGGAAGAGACATTGTTCACCGTGAACGCTCGACAAGCATTCGAGTGTTCACGATGAACGCTCGACTAGGCATTCGAGTGTTCACGGTGAACGCTCGACTAGCATTCGAGTGTTCACTAAGAACGCTCGACTAGCATTCGAGTGTTCACAATGAACGCTCGACTAGCATTCGAATGTTCACAGTGAAAACTCGACTAGCATTCGAGTGTTCACGTTGAACGCTCGACTAGCATTCGAATGTTCACAGTGAAAACTCGACTAGCATTCTAGTGTTCACGGTGAACGCTCGACTAGCATTCGAATGTTCACAGTGAAAACTCGACTAGCATTCTAGTGTTCACGGTGAACGCTCGACTAGCATTCGAGTGTTCACGGTGAACGCTCGACTAGCATTCGAGTGTTCATGGTGAACGCTCGACAAGCATTCGAGTGTTCACGGCGAACGCTCGACTAGCATTCGAGTGTTCACAGTGAACGCTCGACTAGCATTCGAATGTTCACCGTGAAAACTCGACTAGCATTCGAGTGGTCACGGTGAACGCTCGACTAGCATTCGAATGTTCACAGTGAAAACTCGACTAGCATTCGAGTGTTCATGGTGACCGCTCGACTAGTGTTCGAATGTTCACAGTGAAAACTCGTTTAGCATTCGAGTGTTCACAGTGAACGCTCGACTAGCATTCGAATGTTCACAGTGAAAACTCGACTAGCATTCGAACGTTCACAGTGAACGCTCGACTAGCATTCGAGTGTTCACGGTGAACGCTCGACTAGCATTCGAGTGTTCACGAAGAACGCTCGACTAGCATTCGAGTGTTCACAATGAACGCTCGACTAGCATTCGAATGTTCACAGTGAAAACTCGACTAGCATTCGAGTGTTCACGGTGAACGCTCGACTAGCATTCGAGTGTTCACGGTGAACGCTCGACAAGCATTCGAGTGTTCACGGCGAACGCTCGACTAGCATTCGAGTGTTCACAGTGAACGCTCGACTAGCATTCGAATGTTCACCGTGAAAACTCGACTAGCATTCGAGTGGTCACGGTGAACGCTCGACTAGCATTCGAATGTTCACAGTGAAAACTCGACTAGCATTCGAGTGTTCATGGTGACCGCTCGACTAGTATTCGAATGTTCACAGTGAAAACTCGTTTAGCATTCGAGTGTTCACAGTGAACGCTCGACTAGCATTCGAATGTTCACAGTGAAAACTCGACTAGCATTCGAGTGTTCACAGTGAACGCTCGACTAGCATTCGAAAGTTCACAGTGAAAACTGAAAACTCGACTAGCATTCGAGTGTTCGCATTGAACGCTCGACTAGCAATCGAATGTTCACAGTGAAAACTGGACTAGCATTCGAGTGTTCACAGTGAATGCTCGACTAGCATTCGAATGTTCACAGTGAAAATACGACTAGCATTCGAGTGTTCACAGTGAACGCTCGACTAGCATTCGAATGTTCACAGTGAAAACTCGACTAGCATTCGAGTGTTCACAGTGAACGCTCGACTAGCAATCGAATGTTCACAGTGAAAACTCGACTAGCATTCGAGTGTTCACAGTGAACGCTCGACTAGCAATCGAATGTTCACAGTGAAAACTCGACTAGCATTCGAGTGTTCACAGTGAACGCTCGACTAGCATTCGAATGTTCATAGTGAAAACTCGACTAGCATTCGAGTGTTCACAGTGTACGCTCGACTAGCATTCGAATGTTCACAGTGAAAACTCGACTAGCATTCGAGTGTTCACAGTGAACGCTCGACTAGCATTCGAATGTTCACAGTGAAAACTCGACTCGCATTGAAGTCGGTGAACACAAGGACTAGCATAAAACTCGACTAGCATAAAAGTTTGAAACATCAAACTTCATCGAATAGAACAACTTTGGTAGCTTTATTTCTCAGAAATACAAAACAACGATCATAATCCGGTGGTAGGCCAAAAAATCTATTTATCAGTTTATTGGCACATCGTTAACTGAAAGAACTGTGACAATCTGTTCAAATTGAAACTTGTTTCTTTGGGAAATAGAAAACTGAAAATTTAAGACACCAACAAAAAAAAATTATATCACATAAATTGTGGTCAGTCCTATCCCAACGTGAAACGACTTGAACGAGCACTAGGATCAAGCAAACAATCTCCCTCAAAATCAAATTGGAAGAGACATTGTTCACAGTGAACGCTCGACTAGCATTCGAATGTTCACAGTGAAAACTCGACTAGCATTCGAGTGTTCACAGTGAACGCTCGACTAGCATTCGAATGTTCACAGTGAAAACTCGACTCGCAGTGAAGTAGGTGAACACAAGGACTAGCATAAAACTCGACTAGCATAAAAGTTTGATACAACAATTTTTATCGAATAGAACAACTTTGGTAGCTTTACTTCTCAGAAATACAAAACAACGATCATAATCCGGTGGTAGGCCAAAAAATCGATGTATCAGTTTATTGGCACATCGTTTACTGAAAGAACTGTGACAATCTGTTCAAATTGAAACTTGTTTCTTTGGGAAATAGAAAACTGAAAATTTAAGACACCAACAAAAAAAAATTTATATCACATAAATTGTGGTCAGTCCCATCCCAACCTGTAATGGCTTGAACGAGCACTGAACGAGCACTGCAAAGTTCGAAATCTCTAGAGAAATTGTGATTTCTCATTTTGATTTTCAATGATTTCAATTCTGATAATGTTTGTGTTTTGGGTTTGGATATTTGGGTTTGACGATAAAGTTTTCTATTTTGAAATTTTTTTAGTATTCGTTTTACATGTTGGTCGACACACCGCCGTCAATGCACCTTGAGCCTTCAATTTCTAGTGTTCAAGTCGTACAATAAATTCGTACAATTTGTAGCCCACAAGTCGTGCAATAAGTCGTACAACAACGCCCCCTCCCCGTAGAATGTCCTGCTCAAGCAAGTATTAACTCATAATCTTGGATTGATTAGCTTTTTGATTAAATAGATCAAATTATTTTGCCCTCGAAGTTAATTTCAGAATCGGACTTGTACGGTTGATCCATATTTAATTTGAGGGGGTTATTAATTGTCAACTTGGTATAATAAGGGGAAAAAATTGTTCACATGTGCCAAAAAATGGGTGAATTTTATACCGTTATTGGATGAAATTTTATGGGCTTGACTCAGTGCGATAACCGATTAATCAAAACAAAAAACGAGGTCAACCTTATTAAAAATCCGAGAAAAACACCGATCAATAAATACATTAAGACTCGCGGGTGGAAATAATGCAGCAAGGGCGGAGCCCAAAATTTCTATTAAAAATTGAAATAGAAAAATATGTACTAATTTTTTTAAAGGTAGCATTCAGTGATAACTATTTTCCGTCATAAATTCAAACTCGGTAGCGTGATATTTCGACTTGTAAAGTTGAAATAGTAATCTACTTGATTTTGAGCCAACTGTGTCGCAGTTGTTCTTAATTTGCCACGGTGTTTGCATTGTTGGTCAGATTTAAAAAGCAAAATTTCGGCCGCGCCCATCGCAAATTTGCTTTTGGTACAAGCTGCACTTTCAAAAACATTAAAGTTGTCAGACATTTTTTGTCCTGTCCTGGATCTAACTGCATGCGGGTCATATATTAAATAAGTTTTCAAAATCAAACCATAACAGAAATTTACCTGAAATGAGCTCAATTAACAGACCGTTTCATTTTTGCAGGTGACCCAAAATGACTTCGACAACATGGAGTATAGTCTTCCCAATTTTTCAGTGGACACCCATCACTGTACCGTGAGCCGACTTAATTTTAGGAATCCAAAACTGGACGGATCTTTCCAGGAGCCTGCATTTTTTACTACAGGTAGTTTGTGCGGAAAGTTTTTTATCATAGAATTAATCAAAACAGACAGTCATAAAGCCTTTAAATCGATTTGAATAGATTTTCCGACTCACTTGATTAAATATAAACACTCGTGCAGATGTTATAGAATTCAATTAAATGATCTACTTAAATCAGATTTTAAGCACGAAAATAGGCAATGAAATCATAAAAAAATATATTAACTTAGATTTTGCAAACTATTATGTAACAAACCAGAAAAGGGTCAGAGTAAATTAAAATTTGGTTTCATTATGTGCAATTAAATCATAGAAAATTATGAAAATAAAAACGGATTTTGGGCAAAACTTATAAAACGAAACAAGAAAAAGTTTAATTTAGATCAGTTTTTGAACTTAAAGTATGCAAGAAAATCATAAAATTTTATCGTTATTTTGGTCTTTTTATTTGTTTTTTTTTATAGTACAATAAGCTATAGATGTAGAATGAAAAAAGATAGGCAATGAATAAATGCAATAAGAATTCGAAATTGATAAATACATAATAAAAAAATAGTTTTAAATCCGTTTGAATCCCGTTAAAAATAGAAACAAATTAAGAGTGGGAAAATTGATTTAAAATTGATTTGGATCAATTTTTTACAACTGGGATTCAAAATCATTTCAAATCGATTTTAAAACGATCCAAATCAATCATCTTCATCTTTTCAAAATAATGATGGTTTTTTTATAAAAAAATCAATCCATTTTTATTCAAGGTACTTTTTCATGCTAAAATTGATCTAAATTTAATCAACGTAGTTTTTTCATACTAAAATCGATCTTAATCCGTTTTTTTTTCAGTGCGGGCATTTTTGTCAACTTTTAGATTATGTGTTTCAAAAATTGCCTGTTTTCAAACTTTACAAATAAATTAAACTTCAAAAAATCGTTCATTTAATTCAGTTATCACTTCAAAAGAAAGCATGGCTCTAGAAGACAATTGTGTGTTTCGACTTTCGATGAGAAAGTAACGGAATATATGTGCTCGGGGTGGGTTATTTTTTCTTCGGACACATTTTCGACTTTTTAACTAGCCATTTTTAACGGAGTTTTTTATATCATTCGAAAATATTCTGAGCTTAAATTTGAAAAGATGTTTCACCTGTGATTATTTTTCGTAAAGTTGTGGGGATTTAAAAACTGCCATTTTGGCCAATTTGGGACAATTAACGCGCTATATTTCGCACTGTTAACGCGTTAGCGGAGATTTAATCCATCTTAGAAATCTTCCAAACTGGTCGAAGGAAGCTTACTTGTATAATTGATTTCCTACTAGGAGCGAAATTTATCACTTTGTACTTTACATGGCTTGTGGGGGGATGATTTTCATAAAAATTTCAAATTTCAGAAAAAAAATCATTTTGTTTTATTGCATTCAATTTTTTATGTTATTACTGCTCCATAAACCTTAAGAGGCAGTCGGAAAATTCAGGGCTTCGCCCTGATACGAGCAGTCTTGTTTTGTTTTGGTTTTCGTTCAAAAATGTTTACTCAAACAGAATACAAAGGTTTTGTAACTTTGAACTTTGGTTTACAAAAGTTGGTTCACCTTGTTGCCTTAGCAGATTGTTGCCGGGGCCACAAACTAAACTGTTTAAGGAACCCTAACAAACCGGTAGTATTGAGCTTGTATTTAATAATTTGTTCATCTGCTATGAAGCTAAAATTGCGCATCAAGTTTACATCCCCCCAATAGACCAAATTAAGATCCTCCACCCCACCGTTCAATATAAATTAATTTTGCAAAGCGCTTCATGTAAAATGCTCGATTCTGATTGGCTGAAAATTCTCATTTAGAACCAAGTTAACATCCTCCCCCCTACAGGTGTTTAGGGGTGGGATGTTAACTTGGTCAAAAATTGCTACCATGGCGCTTTTGTAATTATCTCACTCTGACGAAGTTAGACGGGCGTTAGTTTTAGTTGGTCAGCTTTTTACTACAATGCCTTGTTTTATTCCTGTGAATGCTGTTGCAATTTGTTCAAGTACATAGCTCGCATTGGCTGAAATCATTTTGGTTTGAAATCTTTCCATTTCTAAGTTTTGTTCCGAACTTTGATGCGAAAGTAACGGAATATTTGTGCTCGGGTGGGTTTTTGTTTTCTTTAGACAAATTTCGACTTTTTAACTAGCCATTTTTGACAGAACTTTTTGATATTTTGCGAAAGGTATTGTTGTCCTGAGCTCAAATTTGAAACGATATTTCACCTGTGATTATTTTTTGTAAAGTTTTGGGCGTTTAAAGATTGCCATTTTGACCACTTTGGGACAATTAACGCGTGATATATTTTGCGCTATTAACGCGTAAGCGGAGAGTTAATCAGTTTTAGAAATCGTTCCAATTTAGTTGAAAGAAGCTTATTTGCCTTAATTGATTTTTTACAATTAATATTGGTCGTAATTATTCCGTCTAGCCTCAATATAAAATGGTTTTTTATTGATATTGGCTGTGGCGAGAGATAAAGAGAGGGGGGCAGAAAAACATCTTGCAGTTTTGTGTATGACAGTTCTTTGTTGTTAGTTCCAAAGACCAAGTAGCACTGAATTTATTACGGGATTGCTTCTATTTTCTTTGCCTCCCCGCACTGAAGTTTCATGGATAATAATCGATTAATTTGGATTTTCATTGTCAGCTTCTATAAAATAAGGAAAATAATCTATTATAAACGATTGAAAATGGATTGTAACGATAATATTTTTTAGGCAATAAAATCCCAATATAATCGATTATAATTGATTATAATCGATTATTTTCAAAAAACTTTATCAAAAAGAAAAGTAATCCGTTTTAATCGATTGAAATGGATTATAATCTATTTCTTCAATCCTTTTTGTGGATTGTCTTCATTTCTCATAATTTTGTTAAACTTAAGTTAGTTATTTTGTTCTCTCGCTTAATTTCATTTTTCCTATTTTCAATCGAGTTTATGAAAAATTACAAAAAATTACCTATAGTCCCCTAACTAAAAAGAGAAAGAGAGAGAGGGGGCTACGTTGGGGGGGGGGGGGTTTCGGACGTTCTACTTTTTGGATGTTGTTTTGGGCACTTTTGAAAAATTACTACATATTGGCCGCCCCTGGATGAACGTATTCGTTCAAGTTTTGCAGAAAACTGCAAAAAAATTGGAGTCATTATTTACGGAATTTAATCAAATTTCATGGATTTTATGTTAAAAATAATCCATTATATTGAAAACAAAAATGGATTATAATCGATTATAATGGATTATAATGGTTTTAAAATTTTCCGAAATATTCGATTATAATCGATTGAAAATCGATTACGTGGTCTAAATTTGACATAATAATAGATTATATAGACAACATTTTAGTCGACGAAAATCCATTATAATCAATTAATACCTATGAAATTTTCATGCCAGTCACTGAATTTTTGACCCATTGTTCTCGCCAAATGCGATTCGGCTACATGCGAGTCTATTCTTAAAAATAATTGGTTCAAAAATATGGTAAACAGATTTTTTAAACCAGTAAAAAGATTTTGTATCAGTGATTTTACACTTTTTTAGAATGGTTTAGATGTACATAAACATCAAAAAACTCGAAACCAGCTGCCCATTGAAAAAATGTAAGCTTTTAAAAAAATAATAGGAATAGCTTCTTTTCAGGAGCTGTGAACTGTGACCCCGATAGGAACGACTTTCTCAAAGTTTGTCTTAAAAGCAAGGCCTCATTCCATTCTATGATGCAAATGGAGTTCTCGGCAAAGATCTTGGGAAAATGCAAGAAATACGCAACCAAAACGGTTCGAATTGACCATCTCGATGGCAGTGGCTATATTGTTATAAAAGCTCAAATCAGGTAAAACTTCCATTTTTATAAATATGTTCCATTTTATAAATATCAAAGTGTTGCAGAATTTTAGCAGTATGGAACTTTGTTCCAAAACTGTGTGAATTCGCGGATGAATTTTATTTCGAAAAGTTGCGAAAAAAAGCAAACTCCGAAGGTTATTAACAAAACTCAAATAACCAGAAAACTCAGAAAACAAAATTCAGAAAACTCAAATGATCTCTAGTTAAAAACTTGTTTTTTTTTCGCGATCTTGTGGGATAAAAAAATATATTTTGTCCAAGTTTAAAAATTGAAACTAGAATCAACGAGGCTAAAATCAAAATTGATTTTGGCCTCCTTGAGTTCATCATTCTTTTGCCTAAACTCTATAAGCCTCGCTTTTTACTAATCAATTTCAAGATACTAGCTATTAATTACCATTTTTTCTGCATTCTAAGGATTTCATGAAGTTAAATAAAAAAACATTTTAAAAAGCGATTACCATTCATGCCATTGCAGTTGATAAAAATATAGTTCTGGTTGGCAGAAACAGTCATAGAAAGCATTTATTAATTTTAAAAAAATCATCCATAATGCAACCTTGAAGTCGTTCTAATTTTATATCTAACTTTGAAGAACTAATTTAATTTTTGTATTTCAGCGGCACCAATGCTAAAATTGTTTCCGTGGAGAACAAACCACAACTTCAATTTGGTTTTAGCGTCACACTTTCATTCGAACCAGTGGGCTGGAAAGTTGGTAAGTGCAGCTAGTTTCAATAGAGTTGTAAAATTGAATACTGGACAAAAACGAGCAGAGAATGATAAAGATGCTACACTGGTTGAGCAAACGTTTTTTTTTCTTATCAAATCAAAATATAGCCCTCGAACTGAATGCATTTGTTCACCTCCAGAAAGACAATGATAACAGATTATTTTTACATGGATAAGAATTTGAAACTTTCAGATCTAAAATTTGAATCTGAAACAAAAAATTTCAGATCTTAAATAGTCTTAAAAAACAAAATATCAGATCCAAAATTTGATCCGAATAATTATAATGAACTTGGAGCAAATAATTGAGTTTTTACTTTTGATTTTTCTGCAATACACAATTATGTTTAAACTAACTAGCGTTAAAAAAACATTCTGAACAATTTATTAAACACCCTTTTTCGTTCTAAAACTCTTTTTCAACTGTGATAAAAAAATCTTAGAAGACCTGATAATTTGTTTTGATTTTCATGCGCTACTTAAGCGTTTCCTTTGTTCATTTTCTGCTTGATGAAACATATTTTGGCAGTGTCCCATTGTACACTTTGCTGATTACCTGCTAGTAGCTAGCAGAAACTATCAAATACCAAAGTATCAAAATTGGCAACAATTGTGTCAAAATCATTAAAATAAGCAAGAAAAAGTAAGTTTTAGATCTGAAATTAGGTATGAAATGGACTTTTTAAATCTAAATCATTCCTAAAGTATCCTAGCGTTATTTTAACTTTTCACAATCTATTTCAAAGTTGAAATCTTGATTTGAAAAAGGTTATTTCACATCTGAATTAGAACATTTACTAGGTAAGGGTGGGCTGGTTAAGGCTGGTTTTTTATTTTTCGTTCTGAAATTAAGGATTTTTTTAAAATTTTTGGATAATGTTCTTTTGGATAAAGTAAATCTTCAAAATGAAAGAAGGATTGAAACTTTTTCATTGTGTTTTGTTTAGAGACCGGGATTGACAAAAATTGCGAATCAACCTTTTCATGTATGGAAAAATACAAATAATACACTTTTCATACAAGTACAGAAAAATGCATGGAAGGTCTATGATTAGCGACTTTTCATATATGGATATTGTTCGACTAGCATTTTTCCATAAAACAAAAACTTTGATTTTTTCATTTTCGTTTTAATTTCGCAGCTTTTTTGGTTGTGTTTGTAACCGAACAAAAAGTTACAAAAACCTTGGTTACTCAAGCGAGGATTAACCAAAGGTTTGACCGTCTCGCATTGGAAACGGCTTGAAATATATTAAATCTCTCTTTCATAAATAAAATAACTAAAATTATAAAATTTTTAAATTTTATTGTCCCTCATTAATGTTCATTGAGCAATGCATAGCGCACATAAAAAACCACACGATTGCCTCAACTATCAACTCGCCTAAATTATAGAAATACGAACAGCAAACCACCACGAGCACAAACAATCCATCATTTTTTTGAAAGCCGCAAGTAATGGTCTTTTTAACTGAAGAAGGTTTCGCACTGGAATCGATTCTGATTTGAAGTTTGAATCTGAAAAATTCAGAATCTGCATTTTAAAACTTCCTTTTAATCCTAGAACCGCCCCGAATGTCTTTTCAAAGATCTGACTCACCTATCAAGACGCCTAAATAATACAAAAACGAGCAGCAAAAAATCATGAGCTGTTTATTAGTCAGTCAATTTTCCCTAGTTTTGCCTTTGATATCTAATGCTAGTTAAAAAGCTAGTTATTTTTTTGTAGAAAAAAGTTAAATGTTTCTGTAAAATTTTTCGAGAAAAAACACCATAAACACAAACATTCTGTCATTTCTTCTGAAAGCGAATCCTAGCTCCACCCCCTGACAGGAAGCACAGAAAACTAGGTTGGATATCTTTAAATCGTTTTTATACAAATTATAGAGGCCTTGGTTGGTTACGTGTAAACTCTTAAGTATATTTTCTACTGTTTGAAATAATCTATACATATTCAACGAAAACGACTTACTTCTTGAAAACTTAATAAGCATGCGCGGAAATAATTATAATCTCAAATTAAAAGTTTTGACGCAATCGTTTTACATTTAGAAGTAGTCAAGATATTTTGAATGCCTGTTTAAACAACAATTGAAATCATTAAACAAAAAACAACGTTTATTTTTTTGCCACGTATCAATACAAACTTTAAAGAAAAGAAAAACTGTTCGCGCTCGAAATTATTTTTTCTACTTCTTCGCCCAAATTCGATTTCCTAATATCCAAGCGTTAATTTATCATTTCACAATCTATTTCAGATTTCAAATTTGAATCTGAAAAAAAAATATTTCAGATCTGGATTAGAACATTTACTAAGTAGGGTGGGCTGGTTAAGGCTGATTTTTTTATGTTCTGAAAAGAATGATTTTATGGAAGTATTTTGTTAACGTTTGTGGATAAAAATTATGATAGTTCAAGGACTTATTCTCCGATATTTATGGATATTCGTTCCAAACGTTTCTTATTATCCAGTAAATCTTCAAAGTGAAAGAAGTCGCCTATCAAGTCGCCTAATTAATACAAATACGAGCAGCAAAATTTCATAAACTGTTTCTATGTCAGCCAATTTTCCATAGTTTGGCTTTTGATATCTAATGCTTGTTAAAAAGCTAGTTAATTTTTTTGGAGAAAAAAGTTGATTGTTCCTGTAAAATTTTTCGAGAAAAAAAGCACAGAAAATTAGGTTAGATATCTATATATAGTTTCTCTACAAATTATAGAGGCCTTGGTTAGTTACGGGTAATTTTTTAAGTATAATTTCTTTTGTTTGAAATTATCTTTATAATTATTCAACTAAAATGTCTTACTTCGTGAAAACCTAAAAAGCATGGGCGGAAATAATTATAATCTCAAATTAAAAGTTTTGACGCAATCGTTTTACATTTAGAAGTAGTCAAGATATTTTGAATGCCTGTTTAAACAACAATTGAAATCATTAAACAAAAAACAACGTTTAATTTTTTGCCACGTATCAATACAAACTTTAAAGAAAAGAAAAACTGTTCGCGCTCGAAATGGTTTTTTCTACTTCTTCGCCCAAATTCGATTTTCTAATAACCAAGCGTTAATTTATCAATTCACAATCTATTTCAGATTTGAAATTTGAATCTGAAAAAGTTTATTTCAGATCTGAATTAGAACATTTACTAGGAAGGGCGGGCTGGTTAATTTTTCACAACCTATTTCAAATTGGAAATTTCGATTCGAAAAAGGTTCTTTCAGATCTGAATTAGAACATTAACTAGGTAAGGGTGAGCTGGTAAAGTCTTGTTTTTTGTTTATGTTTTGAAACGAATGATTTTAAGGAAGTATTATGTTACTGTTTGTGGATAAAATTTGAGATAGCTCAAGGACTTATTCTCCGCAATTTATTGATATTTTTTGCAAACGTTTCTTTTTATCCAGTAAACCTTCGAAGTGAAAGAAGTATTGAAACTTTTTTATTGTATTTTGTGAGGAGACCGGGGTTGACTGAATATGCTAATCATACATTTTCATGTATGGAAAAATGCTAAAATTACACTTTTCATGCTAGTGCAGAAAATTGCATGGAAGGTCTGTGATTAGTGGCTTTTCATATGACAATGGTTTGACCAGCATTTTTCCATAAACCAAAATGTTTGGTTTTTTTCTTTTTCATTTTAATTTCTCAAAATCTTTGGTTGTGTTCGTAAACGAACACAAATGACAAAAACCTTGGTTACTAAAACGTAGAAGAATCACAATTTTGACCGTCTCGCATTAAAAATGCACTTGAATCGGCCTGAAATGTATTCAATTTCTCTTTCACAAATAAGATAACTACTTATAAAAGTTTTAAATTTTATTGTCTCTCTTCAATGTTCATTGAGAAATGCATTGCGCACATGAAAAGCCACACGATCGCCTCACATAGGAACTCGCTTAAATAACACAAATACGAACAGCGAACATCCATGAGCTGTTTATTATTCAGTCAATTTTCCATAGTCTTGCCTTTGAAATCTAATGCTTGTTAAAAAGCTAGTTAATTTTTTTAGAGAAAAAGTTAAAAGTTTCTGTAAATTTTTTCGAGAATACAACACCATAAACACAATCATTCTGTCATTTTTTTCTGAAAGCCGCAAGTAAAGGTTTGTTTAACTGAGGTTCGAAAAAAACAAAAATTTTTTTTATTTGAACCTTATGACTTGGTTACAATAAAAGTGATAAAAGGGTTGTGCATCTTCATGTTGGCTGTCGTCTGCTTTTAGATAAGCTCTCTCTTTCGCGATGCAGCGTCACACTCGGCCGATGGAAAATTGGCTCCTATTGCAGCGTTCTGACAGGAATGATTGAACAGAGAGTGCCAATCGACAAATGGAACAATTTCATAGCTGAAAAAATTATAGCTATCCTGGGAAAAGCGACTAACGAAACGGTGGGACAACAAGTTTCTATTCCAGTGCGAGTCGTTAACATAGGACGTGAAGGCAAACACGAGTTATAACGGAAGTAGGCTTTGATCTGCTCGACAACTGCGAGATGGACAAAAATAACCTCGCACACGAACAGGAGATGCTTTTCCTCTCTATGCTGCGCAGACGACTAAATTGAACGTGAAAAGCTACCTCATCAACAAAAAAAATACTGGACATATCATTGACTATAGTACATTGAAAACTAACAGACGCCCCCCTCAGGTTCCCCCTTAATTACTTTTTAAGAAATCCATTTGCGCCGTCGGCGGCAATATAGACTGATTTTGAGGGTGAGCGCGCGCCCAAAAAAACGCAATTTTTATGTCAAAAATGTCCAAAAAGTGCCCAAAACGGCTTTTTTTACCTGTTTTTTTCTGAAAACCTGAAATTTTGGCTAAAACAGCGTCTTTTTAGCGCTTCAGGAGAGAAAGCGCTAAAAATTTGCCTCTCTATCTCGAAAAAATTCTGGATCTGCCCCGACAGGATGCACTGTTTGAAGCACTGTTTGAAGGTTATTTCAAATCTGAATTAGAACATTAACTAGGTAAGGGTGGGCTGGTAAAGGCTTGTTTTTTGTTTACGTTCTGAAAAGAATGATTTTATGGAAGTATTTTGTTAATGTTTGTGGATAAAAATTATGATAGTTTAAGAACTTATTCTCCGATATTTATGGATGTTCTTTCCAAACGTTTCTTATTATCCAGTAAATCTTCAAAGTGAAAGAAGTCGCCTATCAAGTCGCCTAATTAATACAAATACGAGCAGCAAAAATTCATGAACTGTTTATTAGTCAGCCAATTTTCCATAGTTTGGCTTTTGATATCTAATGCTTGTTAAAAAACTAGTTAGTTTTTTCGGAGAAAAAAGTTGAATGTTTCTATAAAATTTTTCGAGAAAAAAAAACACCATAAACACAAACATTTTGTCATTTTTTCTGAAAGCGAATCCTAGATCCGCCCCCTGACAGGAAGCACAGAAAATTAGGTTTGATTCCTATATATAGTTTCTGTACAAAATATAGAGGCCTTGGTTGGTTACGGGTAATTTTTTAAGTATAAATTTTTTTGATAATTTTGTTTGAAAAAATCTATATACTTATTCAACTAAAATGTCTTACTTCTTGAAAACCTAAAAAGGATGGGCAGAATCAATTATAATCTTAAATTAAAAGTTTTGACGCAATCGTTTTACATTTTAAAAGTAGTCAACGTGTTTTGAATGCCTGTTTAAATGTCAATGAAATCATTAAACAAAGAACAACGGTTCATTTTTTGCAATTATTGTTACAAACTTTAAAGAAAGGAAAAACTGTTCTCGCTCGAAGTTGTTTTTCTTTCTAGTTCTTCGCCCAAATTCGAATTCCTAATAACCAAGCGTTAATTTATCAGTTCACAATCTATTTCAGTTTTGAAATTTGAATCTGAAAAAGTTTTTTTCAGATCTGAATTAGAACATTTACTAGGAAGGGCGGGCTGGTTAACTTTTCACAACCTATTTCAAATTGGAAATTTCGATTTGAAAAAGATTATTTCAGATCTGAATTAGAACATTAACTAGGTAAGGGTGGGCTGGTAAAGGCTTGTTTTTTGTTTATGTTCTGAAATGAATGATTTTATGGAAGTATTTTGTTAATGTTTGTGGATAAAATTAGAGATAGTTCAAGGACTTATTCTCCGCAACTTTTTGATATTTTTCGCAAACGTTTTTTTTAATCCAGTAAACCTTCAAAGTGAAAGAAGGATTGAAACTTTTTCATTGTATTTTGTGAGGAGACCGGGGTTGACTGACTAAATATGCTAATCATACAATTTCATATATGGAAAACTGCTAGTATTACACTTTTCATGCTTGTTCAGAAATTGCATGGAAGGTCTGTGATTAGTGGCTTTTCATATGGAAATGGTTTGACCAGCATTTTTCCATAAACCAAAAACTTTGATTTTTTCTCCTTCATTTTAATTTCTCAAAATCTTTCGTTGTGTTCGTAAACGAACACAAATGACAAAAACCTTGGTTACTAAAACGTAGAATAATCAAAACTTTGACCATCTCGCATTAAAAAAGCACTGAAAACGGCCTGAAATGTATTTAATCTCTATTTCACAAAAAATATAACTACAAATAAAAGTTTTAAATTTTATTGTCTTTTTTTAATGTCCATTTAGAAATGCATTGCGCACATGAAAAGCCACACGATCGCCTCACCTAGCAACTCGCCTAAATAACACAAATACGAACAGCGAACATTCATGAGCTGTTTATTCTTCAGTCAATTTTCCATAGTTTTGCCTTTGATATCTAATGCTAGTTAAAAAGCTAGTTGATTTTTTTAGAGAAAAAAGTTAAATGTTTCTGTAAAATTTTTCGAGAAAAAACACCATAAACACAAACATTCTGTCGTTTTTTCTGAAAGCCGCAAGTAAAGGTCTTTTTAACTGAGGTTCGAAAAAAAACATAAAAAATTTTTATTTGAATTTTATGACTTGGTTACTATAAAAGTGATAAATGGGTTTTCCATCTTTATGTTGGCTGTCGTGTGCTTTTAGATAAACTCTCTCTTTCGCGATGCAGCGTCAAACTCGGTCATTGGAAAATTGGCTCTTATTGCAGCGTTCTGGCAGGAATGATTGAAAAGAGAGTGCCAATCGACAAATGGAACAGTTTCAAAGCTGAAAAAATTATAGTTTTCCTGGGAAAAGCGACTAACAAAACGGTGGGACAACAAGTTTCTATTCCAATGCGAGTCGTGAACAAAGGATGTGGAGGCAAACACGAGCTGGGAGTCGGCTTTGATCTGTTCGACAACTACGAGATGGACAAAAATAACCTCGCATACGAACAAGAGATGCTTTTCCTCTCTATGCTGCGCAGACGACTAAATTGAACGTGAAAAGTTACCTCATCGACAAAAAAATACTGGACATATCATTGACTATATTACAGTTAGATAAAAAGTAAACAGACGACCCTCCCCTCCCCCTCAGAGTCCCCCTTAATTAATTTTTAGGAAACCCATTTGCGCCTTCGGCGCCAATATATACCGATTTTGACGGGGAGCGCGCGCCCAAAAAAACGCAATTTTTCTGTCAAAATTTTCCAAAAAATGCCCAAAACGGCTTTTTTGACCTGTTTTTTTCTGAAAACCTGAAAATTTGGCCAAAACAGCGTCTTTTTAGCGCTTTAGGAGAGAAAGCGCTGAAATTTCGCCTTTCTCCCCTCGAACAAGTCCTAGATCTGCCCCTAACAGGAAGCACAGAAAATTAGGTTAGATATCTGTGTACAGTTTCTATACAAATTGTAGAGGCCTTGGTTGGTTACGGGTAAAATTTTAAGTATATTTTCTACAGTTTGAAATTATCTTTACGATTCAACTAAAACGTCTTACTTCTTGAAAACCTAATAAAAATGCGCAGAAACATTTAAAATTCTTTAACTATAAATTTTGACGCAATCGTTTTGCATCTTAAAAAAATTATCACGGTATTTCGAAAGCCTGTTTGAATGTCAATTGGAATCATTAAATAAAAAAACTGTCCATTTTTTTGCCAATCTATTGTTACAAACTTTAAAGAAAGGAAAAACTATTCGCGCTCGAAGTATGTTTTTCTACTTTTTCGCCCAAATTTCGACTTCCTTACTTAAAGTGATAAATTTGGTATCATTAACCCGCGAAGTGACCTTGGCGTGACCCCCGGGTGATCTTAAGCGGGCGGAAACGTTGGGAGAAATGAGATCAAAACAGGCTGGGTGAAGTAGGGATAGAAAAATAAAATAAAAAAGAATTGAAGGGGACAATGTGTGATCAAAAATTGACGGGCTGGAAAGAGACTGAGTGAAAGGAGTCGGCGGAGCCCTTCCAATAGCATTTAAGGAGGTGAAATAATGAAAAAAAGTTTTATAATCTTTTTTGATGCATTATCTTTTCTTAACCATAAAATCTGTTCGTAAACCTTAAAGAGCAGTTGTAACATTCAGAGCTTCGCCCAGTAAAACTTAGTCTTGTTTTGAATAGTAAGTTGTTACTTTTCACGAACCCAATTAGTTTTGAACCGTTAATTGTTTTCTCTTCGCCACCAAAGATCTGAGTAGTATATGTCGGGTTAAAAGCGTCTGGGGGAAGGCGAACATCCATGTATTAAGATAGGCTATAGATTTCCCATGTTTTAGGACAGGTTATAGGTTTAGTTTCAGATGGTAAGATGGTAAATTTCGAAAAATAATTGATTTTCAAAAAACTTTGGCACCCGATTTTGCCGATAATGCAAAGTTTAAAAATATAAACGGGAATAATGAAAGTCCTACGTTTTAAGATAAATAAATTTTTGTAATCATTCTTCAACTAATTGTGAAAATTTAGTGTTATATTAAGTGAAAAGCGTGAAAACCCAAAATGACATCCATTGGTATCATGTTAAGACAATGACACAAAATTTTGACTAAAATAATATGAGTATTTTCATATTTTTTCTCTCAAAATTAAAAAAACGATGAGATTTGATCTAACTTACGCTAAGATCTATGTTATATAATTTTATATACTACCAAAATTGTTCAGATTAGCTGGACCCTAGCAGAAACTTCCCATTCCTTGGAAAAATTGTGAGAACAACCATAATTTTTGAACAAGTAATTCAAAGTGTTTCAGATCAGACTCAGCCTCTATCCAATTTTTCCTAACAAGTTTCTTGTCCAGGTAATTGTAACTTTAGTTAACCAAACCATTTGAAATGATCACTAAAACAAAAAGTTTTGAGACTTAAAAAAAGAAGTTCATGATTCGAATCTTGCTAGATTTTACGTCAAGGGTTAAAATCATTTCAAATTCTAAAAAACTTCAAAACTCTTGCTCAATTGAAATGAACTTAAAATTTTTCCAAGTGTTTACCACAATTATCGTGGTATCCAAAAAAAAAGAAATGTTAGAGGAAAATTTGGAGACAATTTTCAAAAAATACATCCACTGTTTGACAAAACTCATGACTTCTTCATAATTGTTGATATTCTCTCATTTGCTTCTACAACATAATGTATCAATTTTTTTCATGAATACATCAATCATCCTGATCACAACTGAACAAACAATTTGCTGGTAGAGTCAAAATTGTTGGTAAACCTCAAATGTTTGATTATTATTTTGTAATTTGTGCAATTTGACCTTTAGCAGATAACAATTCTCCAATTAAATTACTACTTTGAATCTAGTCAGCAAAAAATATATATTTTTTACCAATAACAATCAATTATTTGCAAAACATTCACTTTTTAGTGTTGATTTTAGTTCAAAGTTTCTCGAAATTGGTTAAGTGTGAGAGAATTGGAACCATTTGAAGCCTTCAAAAAAGAATACATAAACACAAAATGGAAATTGAATTTTTAGGTGAAGGGAATATGAACAAGTCTACTGGATATTATCTGCTTTTTATGCAGACCTTTCTTTGGAACTTCAAACCTGAATTGCAAAAAGAAATTCGCAATGAAACCTACTTTTGACTTTCTGCTTTTGCTTAAATCTTCAAAAAGAACGGTTCATGAAATTTAACTCAGAAAAGGAGCATCAAATAAACAATTTTTTATTTT